GGTAGCGGCGCGAGGAGAAGCGGGACTGCGTAGGAGGGCAGGACGAAATGGGACACCAGTGTGCAACGCAGACTAAAGAATCCATCCCTGGTGCTGGGCCATCCTGGGGGAATGGGAGGAGCCCCTTCGGAGGACAATAAACTCTGGAATGAGGGTGTGGGTTGTAGCTCCTCGCCCCCCCTCTTCATTCCAGATGCATGATGACACCATGTCCCTCCATCTCTCTGGCTTCTTGGCTTTTTTTTTGCTTTTTTTTTTTCTTTCCCAGAAATTGTATTTTGAAGACAATCAAAAGGAGAACGTGTTCTGGGTGTGGCTGCATGTGATTTACCCAATAGCCAAACTGGGGGGGTGCCGAAGGGGAAAGAGAGCGTCTGCTGCTGAAGGGAGGGGGGGGGGTGGGGTGGCGGGAGGGGTAAGTGATGGGGACCCTGTCTATTCTCTCAGTGTTCCTCAAAATAATTTAAAAGTAGAAGATAATGAAGGGAGATAACATAGGGGAAGCTTTTATTTGCATGCTGGGGGCTGTGTGTGGAGGAGGGCTTAGCCACCTGGATGAGAAAAGAGATGGGCACTGGAGAAAGATGGAAAGAGGAAAAAAGCAGGTGGTGCTACAACTTCAGTGCAGAATGTTTCAGAAACACCTGGAGAACTGGCCAGATAAGGAGGAAGGTGGGAGGGAGGCTGGAAGGACCAAATGGTCTTGAGAGGGAAATGGAGGCAGCCCGCAAAGTTTCTGTGCTATAGAAGAGGGTATTCCAGTTCCTGCCTTAGCTTTCTTCTGACTGCTCTCTCCTCCACTTCACAGGGATGAAGACCTCTGGAACCTGTATACTGTTGTGTCTCTTAGTATTCTCCTTGTCCCCAGCTGGTGAGTCCTTATGCCAGGGAGAGGATTTCTTCCCCACCAGGGTCCTGTGGAGTTTCCTACACGGGCTAATGTGCAATGACCTCAGGAGAAGCCAGGGTCCCGTGGAGTTTCCTACACAGGCTAATGTGCAATGACCTCAGGAGAAGGACACAGATGTGTAGATGAGTAGTGAAGGGGAAGGGACCAAACAGTAAAGGCAAGGTGGATATATGGTTTTAAGGGGAAAATGAGAAACTGGAAACATGTTCCTATATGTGTCACTCTCCAGTAATTAACGGTAGTCACAAGAGTTGGAGGTCCCGTGGAGTTTCCTACACAGGCTAATGTGCAATGACCTCAGGAGAAGGACACAGATGTGTAGATGAGTAGTGAAGGGGAAGGGACCAAACAGTAAAGGCAAGGTGGATATATGGTTTTAAGGGGAAAATGAGAAACTGGAAACATGTTCCTATATGTGTCACTCTCCAGTAATTAACGGTAGTCACAAGAGTTGGAGGTCCATAGCCTCCACTGCAGGGATGTTCATGTAAGCAAAATATCTGGGTCAAGTTGAGAAAGAGAGTTAGGTGTGCTTTGTGCTTACTGCTGTACCACCTGCATGTGCATGATCTGCAGGGCATTTCCCAGTGCTCCACAAAATTTGTTCTGTCATGGTTGTGACATATTTGCTGTCACAAGCAGTTCCTGATGGAATGACCCCATTCTGGGCCACTTAACTGCTGCGAGGTTTTGTAGCATTTTTGTACAGCTGTTTTGAGAAACCTAACCTCTGTAGTTCAGGCTGCTTTCTACTTTTGGTGGTGGTGTTTGCTGTTATTCTGGGGTTTTGTGTCATGACTTTGTTTACTTGGAGCTACTTTGGCAAAAATTCAGATGGGATCAAATTTGTATAAAAAAGAAAAACCACAAAAAAAAACCAAAACAAGAGGACAGCATCAGACACTATACTTGAAAGTCTTAGGGCAGACAGTGAGACGATTAATTTCCATGAATGGATAAAACTTCACCAAGGAAAGACTGTAAGCAGGAGAAAAAGGACTACCTGACTACCTATCGCATTCAAATCAGGTTATTCCAGTCTACCCTCCTTGGTCCTCCCCTCATGCTGAAGCCTAATTCTGCTCCAAATGCCACTTTTTTCCTGCCAAGGTGCATCGTGAATAATGTCATATTTGTGACTGTGAAGCAGGGAGGTAAGGCATCCAAGACATGAGCTTGTAGGTGGCTTATAAATGAAGGAGGCCTGAAAGGAATATTTCTTACTTTTGTGTATTTCATTTTAACGTTTCTGTTCTGGTTTGTTTGTTTGTTTGTTTTAACTTGGAAAATAACAGGAATTGCCAGCTGGTCTCTCATTGTTTCTTTTGGTTTTGGATAAGCTACAGATTCGGTGAATTAGGGTTGCAGTTCTAGACCTCAAGGATGAATTTACTGCAACTTGGACAATAAAGTCCAGTTATTTATAAAGCATATGTATTGAGTACCATAGCAAATATAAACTGAAGTGTTTGAAAACGTGGTGAGAAAGCCACCTGTTTTGTCTCCTCACCTTATATGCAGAGGCTTCACTTCACTTGTGTCCTGTTGTTTCAGAATTGGACCATTTTTCTAGTTAGCTCCTGGGGAGGAAAAAAACCCCCCAAACTAGTAAGAGCTGCCTTTTTCATGTTAGCAAAAAAGGGCGGGAGTCCCTGCCTTTCTTACATGACTCTTCAAATCCTGCATGGTGGCTTCTGCAATGGTTTCAGAATTTGTGTCCTTCATTTTGCATCAGAAACAAGTGAGAAAGTGTTTGACATAATTTTCTTCTCCTCTTGTTATAATTCAGAGATAAGCCAGAACAGGGAAAGTTTTGGTCGGCATTAAATTGTGCATTAAAATTATTATGCATGTCTAGCTCACCCCTGGGTTAGTCACCAGCGGCTGAGCCCTTGTTAGCAGCTGGGTGGGGAAGGAAATATCAGGGTCCAGCAACTCCTGTAGTGCTGCAGAGCAGGATTATGTAGGGGTCCCAAGAGTCCCTCTGCAGCCTGCAAGTAACTGCTCTCGGAATGTGCGAGAACTAAGACAAAAGCTCCAGACCTGATAGTTCTTACCCATGCAGTGCTCCCCTTAAGAACAGAAAGCTAAAGGCTGAGATCACAAGATGTAGAGGGGTGTACTGGTTTTTGGGCTGGTCATGCACACATCCCTTCAGTGCCCCAAATCACTGGCTTTTTCCTGCCAACTTCTTCCTTCATCCCACCCCAGTTATGCAGACGTTTCCCTCCTCTGTGGCTAGCAGGAAATATTTTCCCATTCCTGGCTGCTGTAGGAAGCAGCTCTCTCACCCTTTATATTTGGACAAACAAACAGTCTAGCCCAGTTTCAATTTCTCCTCTTCCGCACAGCATGCACAGCCAAGCCTATATCATTCCCCCTCTCCAGTGCGCCCAGGGGCTCAGAGGGGTAAGATCATCTGCTCTGTGCTCCAAACTCAGGCAGGATGATGGACCAGATAAATTTTTGCCTAAGGAGCTACAAAACTTGCAGTCTGTTTCTTACTGTACTAATGACTCAATCCATGACCCCAAGCAAATAATTTCCATTACTCAATTTCCTCTTTTATAAAATAAGATGGGGATTTTGACCAACTTCCAGAGCAGAGAGGCCACATGGCATTTTTTTCAAAATGCATCAAACAGGGTTTCGGAAATTTAAATCTGATAACAGATCTGGAGGTATTTACTAACTTGTCCCTGTGCCTAGTCATTGACTGTGGTAGAAGCAGCAGGGATAGGATCAGGACCTGAAGTATCCATGAGTCTCTAAACAACAAACCCAGCCAGCAGTGGCAGCTGAGGGGGAGAGTATTTCTCCCTTCAGCAGAGGGCAGTGGTGTCTCCTGGATAGATAAGCATCTCATAAAAATTTGACAAGGCCTGCAGACTATAGAAATCCCTCTCTGTCCTTTCTTCACTCTCTTCTTCACTATTCTTCTCTTGGCAGACTGGTTCCCATGGGTGGTCAATGGGCAAGAACCAGAAACTGCAACTGGTAAGTATTACAGATTTTTATGTGCTGAAGACTGCTCATGGACCCAGTTGTTCTGTGGCATTATAGCCTGTTTATTAGCAGATACTGTTCTTTGTTTCCTTGCCTCTGACATTGTGAGTTCACCTTTCAGTGAAGATTAAACACTCTCTCCAAGACAACCTGCTGAGTGTTGTGTGCTGTTTACAAATAATGTGCTAGTGTAGGTGTCCTGATCACTTAAATGAAGTGCATGAAGTTATGTTCACAGTCAAGGGCTGTGGGAGATCCACAAGAGCTGGTAAGTCTGGAGCCATTAGATGCCTGAGGAACTCTACTACTGCTTAGAAAATTGGTGCACAAGTGGCATGATGCTTTAGCAGTGGGACCACTGGAAAAGGATATTGAGTGGTCTTCATACTGGCTGTGTTGTTGGGGGTGAATTGCTTTATCCCTCTGGACCTTTACCTGTTTTTGTGACATGGGAAGATGAAATGAGTATAAGTTTGCATCATGCTTCAGCACCCAGAAGAGCCACAAGAACCTGCCTTGTCTTCAAACTGAGGCCCCTGGCTGAACCTTCAGACAACTCTCAGCTATGATGCTGTCATGTATAATATCTGGGGCTTTCTAGAAAACTATTCAGAAGCCACTCTAAAACATGTCCTCCAAGCTTCCCTTTCCTTCATGCTTTATCCCTCCATCACTACCTCAGCTTTTCCATCAATTGCCTTTCAAAGAATCTCATCTACTGATGAATTTCTGCAGTCAAGGCTAGGTTCTGGAGTTGCCTCCTTCATTCTTTGCAGTGGGTGCCTCAGCTGTCTGTTATGCTCCTGCAGAAGCCATCAGCCCCTTTGTTTCAGATGTCTTTCTTTCCCATCAAGATGCTGGCAGTGGCTGTATCTGAGAAGTCAAAATATGCATCCAGAGTTCAGTAATGGTTGATGCACCATGAACACTAAGAAATCCAGTCCCAGGCCAGTCACTGAAAAGGGGGATGGATACAGGTGGGAGGCATGTGCTGTGTTTGTTTATGTGTTTACTGGATTGGACCCTACTGTATCATGAGCCTACAATGGCAGCCGAGGTAATTCAAGTTAGCCATGACTAGCTATGTAAGGGACTACAAAGTAAAGACAAGCTTTCTCAAGGACATTCTCTCTTTTCCAGGTGAAGTTACCCCTGAATCTCTTAGCAGCTCTGGTAAGTCCCTGTCTCATACATCTTTTTCCCTTTTCACCTGTACTCCTGCCTACACAGGCCCAGCAATTACCCATTACGCCCAGAAACTCTTCTTCCAACTTTGGACATCTAGCAGTGTCCTTTCAGCATTTATGGCTGTCTGGGAGTCCTTTCTGTGCTCCATGTAGGGAGATGAATTTAGGGTGGCCTCTGTTCTCCAAGGAAATGCCAATCATAGAATCATAGAATCAACCAGGTTGGAAGAGGCCTCAAAGATCATTGAGTCCAACCCTACCGATCCAATCTCACCTGATGTACCAGGGCTCTCTGAAGATGTTTGCACTGCAGGAAGCCATGAAATTCAAAGTTAACACAGCCTTGGCTTCCTGAGAAAGTGGCAGGAACAAAGAGACTAAATGATGAGGGTGAGAAATTGGGCAAGTTCAAACTGGGCAGCACTGGGACACTGGTTGTGTGTGTCTGCTGCCAGGTAGCAGACATGCTTGAGTGCTCAGAAGGAAGAGGTGGCAGGAAAAAAAACCCAAAAGACAGTAGTAAAGCAAACTCTGAGCAGTGTTGTGATGGGGAAGTGGAAATACTGTTCTTTTAGTACTGTCTTTTCCACCGTGCCTATGGCTATGTCACTGAGGGACAGCAAAATGTCTGTGAAAGGTAGGGTAGATGGAGGACTTGGAAGATGAGTACTCACAGCATGCAGTATGTCTCCTTGGAGAGCCAAGCCTTGCTGTGAAGATAGCCTCAGAACACAGAGCTGAAGAGAGTGTAGGCATTTGCAACAATGGGCAACGAAGGAAAGGGCCAGAGGCTCAAGAAGGAACCTCCCAGAAGAAACTCTTCACAAAGGATGTGCCAATGAGATCCACTTTTGCTCTAGAGCATCCTATGAGCTGTAGGACACCCAGCATATTTGCAGGGAAAGCCTCCAGTTACTCTGACAAGTCACATGATAGCAACATCACTATCAGCATTGTCTATGAACCAGATGTGGGATGGCTACTGCTCAGGAGTGGTGAGCCATCAGCAGAGCTGTGGGAGGTGGAAAGAGGCTCAAATTCAGATCTTTCAGAACATCTTCTCTTTTACCAGCTCCAGCTGTCACACCACCTGTGCTTCTTCGTCCTGGTGAGTTTATTCTCAGTTCACAGCCACATGTTGTGGACCCTCATTCCCTCTCCTTGCACAGTCCCTTGCAAACCCAGAATCCTGCCTTCTCTGACTACCCCTAAGCAGAGCCCCAACACCCAAAAGACTCATTCTCCCTTGCACACGTGTTTTGTCTATGCTTTTGGTTGACACTATGGCACACAAGCAGAAGTAAAAGTTCTCTGTAACTGTGGATGTAAACTTGCGCCTGGCAGTCAGTCCTCTGAATTCCTTTCCAGTTTGTTACTGGGTAAATTATAAAATGTACTGAATTGCTGTGGTACAGGTGGGTTACTTTATCTAAGGGAATAACAAACCAACCTCCTTTTGACTCCTTGTCATGGACATAAAGAACCAATGGACTTGGGGATGCTGTTTCTTAAAAGTCACTGTTTCTTAGGAAGAGGTAGTCAAATGCTTCATTGCTTCTTGCCTAGATAAATTGTAATTACAGCAAGTAAATAAATTTACCTGACCTTTTGAATTTTAAGTCAAGATGCACGTACAGTGTAATTTTGAACCATAGTGATAATGCTTTATGGAAAAGCTTGGGCAAATTTCTAGCATTGTTGGCTGGGTAGCTGGAGCTAGATTCATATTGGATTTGTACCTTCTCTTATGGTTTCATGTCAGTAACAATGAAATCTTTCTCCACATTAGAAGTTAAAATGGACGAAACTTGAAGAGTGGGCTTGGCATCTTCCTTGAGAAGTGGGCTGATGCCAGCCTCAGGAAGTTCAACTACGTGAAGTGCAAGGTCCTACTCCTGCGTTGTGGCAATCCCAGGCACAGCTATAGGCTGGGCAGAGAAGTGATTGAGATCAGCCCTGCGGAGAAGAACTTGGGCATGATGATTGATGAAAAGCTCAACATGAGCTGCAGTGTGCACTTGTAGGCCAGAAAGCCATTTGTGTCCTGGGCTGCAACAAAGAGAGTATGGCCAGCAGATTGAGGAAGGTGATTCTCCCCCTTTACTCTGCCCTTGTGACACCTCACCTGGAGTACTGTGTACAGTTCTGGTGTCCCCAGCATAAGAAGGACATGGAACTGTTGGAGCAAGTCCAGAGGAGAGTCACAAAGTCCATAAGAGGACTGGAGCACCTCCCCTACAATGACAGGCTGAGAAAGTTAGAGCTATTTAGCCTGCAGAAGAGAAGGTTGCATGGAAACCTCATACCAACGGTCCAATATCTGAAGGGGCTACAGGGAACCTGGAGAGGGACTCTTTGAAGTCCAGAGTCACAAAGTCCATAAGAGGACTGGAGCACCTCCCCTACAATGACAGGCTGAGAAAGTTAGAGCTATTTAGCCTGCAGAAGAGAAGGTTGCATGGAAACCTCATACCAACGGTCCAATATCTGAAGGGGCTACAGGGAACCTGGAGAGGGACTCTTTGTTAGGAACTGTAGTGATAGTACAAGGAGTAATGGGTATAAATTGAAAGAGAGGAAATTTAGATTAGATATTAGGAAGAAGTTTTTTTATGTCAGGGTGGTAAGACACTGGAACAGGTTGCCCAGAGAGGCTGTGGGTGCTCCAACCCTGGCAGTGTTCAAGGCCAGGTTGGATGGGGCCTTAAGCAGCCTGGTCTAAGCCTATGGCAGGCTGGGGTTTGGAACTACCTGATCTCTAAGGTCCATTCCAACCCCTTAACATACTATGAAGGAGCTTTCCAGGTATTTGAGTAAGCTGATGTGTAGGAAGGAGTTATGGTAACTAAGTAACTTTGCTACCCTCTGTCTTCCAGTTCAATCTGACAGTGAAACTACAACGGCTTCATCAGGTATGTTTTAAGTTTGCTGCCTGTACCCCCTCCCAGACCCAATTTCACCCACCCTGTTATTTTGCCAGGCAGGTGCTGGCTAAGCACTGAACTTTGTCTCCTGAAAAAATTGCTTTCAGTTCTTCCTTGAGTTAGAAGTACTGGAGAGTGATGGTAGTGGAAGCTGAAGCGTTCTCCTGGGTGGCATGCATGAGAAGGGAGGAACTGGCAGATCATCAGACCAGATACGCTGAGTCAATATTGTGTCATTGTCAGTGGCCAAGACCTGGCATTTCAGAATGAAATACAAGAAATCCCGTCATAGTTAGCTACAGTGTTTATTGTCCAGAAAAGAAAGGAACTAGATTTGTGTCCTGAAATGTTATATTGCATATTTATTAGAAACACATGTCTTAAATATGCAACCACAATTTGCATTTTATTTCTTTGTGTCTGTCCCCTTTACAGCATGTGCCTCCTATATTCAGGGTGCCCAGTAAGATTATTCTGCATTTAATTCAACTTTCCCTTACTTTTGTCTTATGGCAAGGGGATCAGAAATGTCTGTATTATTTTCCTCTTCTCTAAATCATCTCCATTTCTCACAAGAGAGTGGGAAATAGAGGCTAGAAACCTAGAGGACAGTATCTTGTGATGAAGTTATATCTGTGCCAGAATGAGTGCACCTGCCAATGATGCTGAATTGCACTTGTGTGTGTGTGGTCCCAGATTGTCGTGAAGAGAAGTTCCCTTGCACACGCCTGTACTCTGTTCACAAACCAGTAAAGCAGTGTATCAGCTACCTCTGTGTTACAAGGTAAGAAAAGTCCTAAAAACTCTCCAAAAATGGCATGTCCAGTTCAGCAATTGTTCCATTTGAAGACTAGAGGTTGCCTCCAGGAACCAGTTGGTGAAATGAATCCTATCCTCAAAGTGTCCTTTTAGTGTGATTATTTAAAACACTACAATGACTATTATCTGTGCAGCAGTAAGGAGCTGTAATGTGCCCACTATTGTATTCCATATTTAAGAAGGTATTTGGCCATTTATAAGGCCACAAAGTTGATCAGAGGGCTAAAGACCCTCTCTTACAAAGACAGACTGAGAAAACTAGGTTTGTACAGTCTGGAGAAGGCTTCAGGGACCCTTCCAATACTTAAAGGGGGCTTGTAAAGAGACAGAAGAACTTTTTACACAGACAAATAATGATAGGACAATGGGGACTGTTTTAAAATAAGAGAGAGATTTAGGTTAGATGTTAGGAAGAAATTCTTTACTCAGAGGGTAGTGAGGCACTGGAATAGATTGCCCAGACAAGTTAAGGATGCCTCATTATTGGAAGTGTTACAGGCAAGGTTCAGTGTGGGGCCCTGAACAACCTGACCCAGTGTGTGGCAGCCCTGCCCATGGCAGAGGGTTTGGAAATACGATCTTCAAGGTCCCTTCTAACCCAAGTCTTTATGATTCTAAGGTTTCGCTATTGACAGCAGACTTACTCTGAGCTAATTTAGGATTCGCCTCCTCACCAGCGAATATATATGTTTATTGCCTGTATCTCTTTTTTTGTTTCTTTGGGTCCTTGTACCTTTCGATGCTGATCCTGATGATCCCTCAGTGTGCGTCGCATGTACATAATAAACAAGGAGGTGTGCTCTCGCATTATTTGCAAGGAGAATGAAGTCATGCAAGGTGAGTAATATCACAAGGTAGCCTAAAAGAATAGCTACAGTCATCTGATAGAGTCTCCCCAGTCCGTATGTAGTAGTTTTCCTGGACTCTGTGTGAAGGAGCTCTAATGCAATGCAGTCTTGGATCCAGTAGACATGCCAGGATAAAAAAATCCTAGGAAGTAGGTATTTTACTATCAAGAAGTGTGATAGCTCTGTATTCCTTGATCATGCCCTACTAGTCCTGGACACGCTCTTACTCAAAGTTGTATTCCTTTGAGGTTAAAGAGCAACTCTTAGTGTTTCTTTTCATTAATAGAAACAGGATCCAGTTTAGATTTTTAATGCAGCCTTGTTGCAGCAAAGTACAAGTGATTTTAATGTGTTATACATGAATAAAGCCAAAAGGAAATTAATAAAAGACTAAGGAGTTGTTTAACTTACCTCCCATATATGAGGATTCAGCGGTTTCAACAGTTGCTGTAGATGCATTGAAGGACATACATCTAACTATTCTGGTGGCGAAGAATTTGAAGAAAGTTTTGATTATCTGTCAACCCATGTGTTTGTCTGCTATGTCTTCAGATGAGATCTGTCGCCAGCTGGCTGGCCTTCCTCCTCGACGTCTCCGCCGATCTGGACAGCCCCTGCATCTCCCTTGTAGACAGCTCCTGGAGCAGCAGCGTGGAAAGTCTGATGCTCTGTGAGCTACCAACAGGAGGAGTGGAAAAGGATGGGAGAGAAGAGAAATCATCACCACTACCTACAATCCAAGACAAGTCCCTTTTGTTTGATTTCCCCACTATTTCCTTGCTTCTCTGCCTTTCCCTAGAGCCTCTTCTTCAGGTGCTGCAACACACAGAGTCCCCTCACTACTAGTCTGTCATGATGGCTGTTGGCATCTTTAAAATCTGTGGCTAAGGATATGGGATGTTCCCCTCTTTTCTCTCACGCTCTGGCAGGCCATGAGCTGCTCGTTTCCCAGAGGTCCTTATAAATGTGCTGCATCTTCTCTTGCTTTGCCCCAGCGGGGAGACAGAACTAGGGATAGGATGTAGTCCTCTCCAGTGGTACAGTTACCCTAAGCTGTGTCTTATATGATGAAGTACAAACTTTTATGCTTTAGGACTCCTGCCCTAGATTTCTTGCATGATGTCAGTGTGAGCTCAGATATGGTTAGTCAGCCTGAACCTCTCCAGTTCTCCTGAGCCACTGAGTTTGTTGTGTGATAGCACAGTTTCCTCCTTGTGTCTGCTGGCATCAAGGAAGTGACAGAACTGGGAGATGAGCTGTTATGAACCCAAGGCAAACCTCATTGTCTCTGAGTAGCAAGAGGTCATTTATAACTACCTCTGGGTAGTTCTTTGTCTCAAACCCATTGCCTCCCTCACTCACAACTGCTACCTAAAATAAGAATTCTGGATTTAGTATGGCGTTATATTTTTCTCAAGAAGATTATATTGGAACAGAGTGCTGCCTCTTCCACTCCCTGCTCACCTCTCCCCTACTCTTGTCCCTCCCTTCTGATTGAAGACATTTCTTGATGCCCAATCCAGGCAAGTTCCCGGGAGCAGTAAAATTATGGCTGCCTCCAATCCTAAACCCATGAAGAACCTATGTGTCCTGACAGTACTGGGAACTTGCAATTAATTAGCTTGTCCTGGTGTCTTGTCTTGGTCTGGCTACCTCCACACTCTCCAGTTGCTGAGCCTGCTTTCAATATCTCCACTTGAGTTCCTACCTCCTGACCTGAAAGTTCCTACACAAAGCAGAAAGGAGTCACAACTTGCAATCTGGTGTGGGAGAAGAATCATTATCTGGGATTCCTGGTTATCTGAGACCTGGTGTTTTCCTGCAGGTTCTCTGACTCTGCTGACACTGCACAGAGCCAGGTGCTGATGGGGAAGGTAAAGATATCTGCAGGTATAAGTGCTTATAGAGATGGGTCAGCCTGGGGAGAATTCACTCTGGTAGCACTGCATGTCTGTCATCTGCATGAGAACTTTGTTTTCCAGACACATATTAAACATTTCAAGGTATCTGGACAGTTTTCATGATAAGACTGGGTAATGTAAGTGGGGAAGATCAGTATCAAGTGCTTTAATCACTCTATATAGTGTCATGACTCTGTGAATACCAGAGCTGAGCAGCTTAGCTCTCTGCAGCAGAAGGTCAGCGAGACCCTGTCTTTAGAATCTCTCTGTGGTGAGCACTAGTTCACTAGACTAGGCATTTACCCCGTCACCTAATATATTCTACTGTTGAACTGAGTGCCATTCAGGCTTGCAGGAGCACTGCTCTCCTGCATAGAACCAGGGTCAGTTTGCTGCACAGAGGCAGGTGTCTCTGCGAAAAGAGCAAAACATTTAGGGTAAGACCATCTTGCCCTGGATTTCTGCTGTATGCAGCAAGAAGCTGGTTATATCCTCTGTGTACAGAAAGACACCCTGTACAGGCACAGATTTGTTCCATATGAGATAAAAATTTGCCATAGATGGCCTAAATCTCTATATTAATACAGTACATAGGAGAGAGAATTCCAAGTTACGTGATGACTAGAATTTTGTCCTATATACATAGGGACATTGCACCCCTATGCAGAGGACGATGCTCCTCTTGAGTAACTGCTCATGAGACTAGGGATAGAGGAGGAATTTCTCTGTGCTCAGAGAGTGCATGTTTCTATAGAGAGGAGGGTACTGAGAGCTTGATCTTAAAGACATTCAAGTCACTGGCAGCCACTGAGTTATATGCTGGGATGCCTGTGGAAATTGCCTGTGTGGAGGAAGGTGGGACGGAGATGAGATGTTAGAGGGAGGTCTTGGAAATTGGACTAGACCAAGTCTCCACTCTGTATTTAGAGTTGAATATAAGTTGATATAGATACATAACTGTGTAACATAGCTACTGTACAGCATATAGAAATTTTTTACATTCATACAGTTTGGGAAGTGGTTAGAAGCCTTTCTGTTGCTTGCTTTCAGCAGGGACAGGAAGAGGGGCTCCTGTCCAGGAGAACACTGTTTTAATGCTAGAGTCTATATAATGCATATTAAAAGAAAATTTATTTCCTGTTATTCTTGGCAACTCTCTTGTGTTTGGGTTTATTTGTCTCTTGTTGTATTTCCTCCAGATTTGTGGGAAGACTCAACTCCAGCCCAAATCTGTCATTTGGACCTCTTTAGTCCTCACTAGTTCAGTCCTCTGCTGCCACCTTCCCTCCACTCGTGTATGACAGGTCTTTCTGGGAAGTCATTTTTTCTAGAGAAACAGAGTTTTCTTCAGCACTTTTTTTTCCCCCTGAATAGCCGTGCTAGATTTTCCTGACAGTTGATAGCTTCTGAACACAGGGATAACTTCTCCCAGCCAATGAAATTTGTGCGGAGAACGTCTTTTCACTGTGCATGTGCCATGACTTTCAGGTAGAGAGTTAACATCTCCAAGTAAAATGGTAAAATGGCTGAAATAAGAGAAGAGCTGTGATAAATATTACATAAGCAAAGAAGAATTTGTTCACTTCAGCCATTCAACTCAATAATGGGAATAACTGAAAGACTGTGTTAAAAATTACACATCTAGGTCAAAAGGATTAGGAATATTTCTCTTTCATTGATTTTCTGACTTTGGCATAGATCCATCAAGCACTGCATACATCATATTTTTGTTGAGAAGATGGAGCACTCAGAGCGTGGGGGACTCTGCAGTGTCTTCATGGGTAAGCAGTGAAGTCTGCATTTAGATGGTATTTCTAGAACAAAAGTGGCTGTGGCCCAAATTACCCATCAAACTGCCTCTGACAGTGTCCCATAGATCTTCAGGACTAAAACGCACAATGCAGATTATTGCACAACGCTATCCCTTAGAATGGACATCCCTTCCTGGCTGCTGCTGTGGTGTCACTATCCCAGATGGTTATAATGGAAACAGCCTCAGCCCTGTTGTCCCAAGCACAGGCTCATTACCTGCTGTGCAGTGCCAATCACACACCAAGATGAGATACTTCTGTATTTTATTCTAATTTGTGCAAAGAAGGGAGTTAGGGGGTGACCCACAAAAGTCAGGCTCCCCATCATCAAAACTTTATACTTTTTATACATTTTAACAAACCAAGGCATCAGCATTCATTGGTTACAAATTACATAACTGTTTAATTAATTGGTACTCAACTCCCTGTTTGATAGTTATATCTCTTGCTTCTCGTGCTAATTAGTCTGTAGGTACAGTTCTTCTCTCCATATGAGTCTGGGGTCTGTTTTGAGCAGGTGGTCAGTGAGTCGGTGGTCACAGTCACCCACTGCCAGAATTACCTTTCCCCCAGTTACTGCTCAGTTCTGCTGACTTCACTCCTGGTGGCTCTCATCCAGACAGCCCATTTATCTTGGGATTGTCTGCCCTTTTTCTTAAAACAAAAGATTAGGCAAGCACACAGCGTTCACAAGGCAATTGCTTAATCATAACTGTCCAGCTGTAGCTGCTGATTAATAACTTTAAAAAAATTGCAACGCATTATTCAAATCTTGAGGGGCTTAAACCTTGAGGGGCTCAAATTCAGCCCTAGTGACTGTAGAAGTTGCTCCCCTTTCCTTACAGTACTGGAGTCTGCAGGCATTTCCCCATCTTCATTAGCACTTACCCCATACACAGATTTATTTTCCCTGCCATTCCAATCTGAATTGCCATGGCTACTGGTCTCTGGACCAGTGTTCTTTTGTCAGCCAGGGCAATGGTTTTAAATGTAGCTCCATCTAGCTCTGCTGCCCATGCAGTTGGACTAGCCATAAAGCAAGCTGCCAGAATCCCATTGTAGAAGCATAATCTAGCTTTTGTGGCTGATTGTCATAAAGTCTTCTGACCCAGAGCAGGAGTTAGATGGCCTGCAGTCACTTCCCACACAATGGTTGTTCCTGCTTGTTTTGCTGTCATCCAGTACCGATCAGTGTTGCCAGTTTGAAGGCTGCTGTTTCATGGCCAGTGCTCTGATGCCTGGTGCCCAGTTTGAAGTGGTACCTCACTTTTCTGGGCATATGGAGCTGAAAAGCATGGGGAGGCTGTTGGAAGCAGCTTCCATGTCACCTAGAAGCTCCATGTTGCCTGAATATTGTTCTCAAGAGCCTGCAGTATGAACAGAATCAGCTTGGAGGGATCCCTCAAGGGCATACTGCTGGCTGGGGTGTGAGCTTATCCTTCACAGAGGAGACCAGTGCTTGCAACCCATCCAAAAAGAGCACCTCTATTAGGCAAAGAATAACTGGGTTGAAACCAAAAGGGATTTTAGTTTAAAATTACAAAAAAATAAAAAGGTGGTTTTGGTTTTTTTCCGCAAAGATTGTAAAGGTGCATGATCCTGTAACACTGACTCCTGGCACTGCATGGTCTGACACTGTTTGACTGTGTACTTTTTTCCAGTAGTGAACAGCCCCTTGACTAGGGCACAGGAAATCTGAATTCCATTTCTGAATCTCCTCACCTCCTGTTCTCTGATCTTCAGCATATTGCTTTGTTCTCACTGTTCCCTGCCACCTTTAGCCCTTGGAAAGCAGCAAGCTGGAATAAGGTCCCACAAAACAGAGAGATGGATTTTAGTCCATTAAAAAAAGTTATAAAGAAATGTGTGTGAAACATCACAAAGGTATTTGATTGTCTACTTTCACTATTAATGTAAGCCATTTTTTCAAATAAAAACATTTTAATAATACATTTATAGCAGTTAAAATGCAAGATGCATGTACTTGTTGCTACTATGCTGAAGTATATTAACAAAATCAATTGGTGGAAGATATTTAGTTCATTTAATGAATAAATGATCTATGAGAATGCTGTTGTGGGCATTTTACTAAGATTGCAATTTCCATATGAATACAGCTTGTCACAGATCAGACATTAACAAAAAGAGGTAATAGAGAA